CAGGGGGGGTAGCCCCTGTGGGAGCCACGTAGCCTGTTTGGGGGGGCAGGCAGTAAGCTGTGCAGGGGGGCTGCACCCTGTGGGGGGCAGGGGGCCCACCCCTCCTGAGCAGCCCCCCCTCAGTCCCCCCACAATTCACCTACACCTACCCATACACCCCACAGCCCTCCACAGCTACCCACATCCCACCCCCCTTCTGCAAATCCCACATCCCCCCACCACATACCCTGCGTGCCCAGCTGCCAGACAGGATGAGACCTGCTGGCAGGAGCTGTGGCTTCAGCGGTAGGTGTCCCCACATCCTAGTTAGCAAAGGGGTCAAGGGAGAGCTCTAACTGCTCTATGGTAAGAAAACCAAAGGCAAACAACAAAACACATAGGGTTATTTTGCCCCAAGCGGCACAACTTACACCACACCAAAGTACATGTCTGAGCATGTACACTGAGGCAAAGAGCCCCGGCTCAAATTTGCACCACTTCTATTTGAGCTGCTGCAAGCACGTGTGCCTGCATGTGTGGATGCACCCAACAGTGCTTCACAAGATAAACCCAGAAATTTCAAATACAAACCCATAGCTGTGGTCTTTCTGAATTCTATGCAACTGAAAAATGGCTCTGATATTTTTCTGCAGTGAAAACAAGAGTGAAAACGAAGAGGTGGCATTTTCTGAAGGGAGCTGCAAGTTTATTCAGCAGTGGTGCCATGAGTCTATCCAGGAGTACCGTGAATCTAAAGGTTGAGAACCTCTGCTTTAAAATATAGCAGATCTATACAATATACATTTCTGTCAATAATATGAATCTAAGAACCTACATACCAGATATATTCATATCCTTAAAATAAATTCTGTTAGGAAATATAAGCTTAGATTAGAAGACCAGTGTTATAGAGGAAAATTTATATTTTAAAAGGGAAAACTGCATAAAAATATTGACATACTAATTTAGTGGCTGAGTATTCAATACAAATACAAAGAAAAATTAACATGTTCACTGGAAGACTGTTTGTCTTCAAGTAATTTATAACACTGCCAAAAGTGAGATTTAAAACCATGGCTTCCACTGTTTTCTAAACCTCCAATAGTTGACTGGTTAAGTCAGTCAAATGAACTCAGTGAAAACCATTTTGTTAATGGTTTCTTTAAATTAAGGTGATTTTGCTGACCTCCAAAGCTGTGTTACATGTAAATCTGTTATAGCATTTTCATTTCGCATTATTTTCTAAACAGCTGAAGGTATTTAAAAATAATAATAATAATTTGGGGGACTTTTTGGGTTATTGCTATTTGACAGAACAAACTCAAGAAGTCCATGTGTATATTACAAGAATCAATTATTTGCTATTGATTTATTTCTTAATAAATACATTGATTTCTTAATCAAACTTTTTAAATGTCAATACTGCCCTCTGTTGAATGAATGTGGTATGGATCAATGGAAAAACTACAGAAAATCTCTCTCTCTCACCTGTCCTAAATTCAGGTTTCTAACTGGTGCTCAAAATAATGATACCAAGAGAGCCTGACTATTATGTTGAACAGCATGATAACCTTAAGAGTGTCTGGTCTGTCCCACCCTACCCCAAACAATAGCATTTATACTGCCCACAGCAATATGTATTTTCTGGGAACAAAGATCTACTGAAAAGGACAAATATGTGTACACAGCTGAAGGGGCAGAATACAAGTGCTCTACCTTTTTTCCCCAGGAAACTATAACACAGAGCCATGAAATTCATATTTGATTTATCTTCTATTGGTCCCAATTTTTTTTTGGTCAATTTAGCGCTCTCTAAATTGGCAGCAGCCAGAGATTCAGCTATTATTATTTAAGATCTCATATCTTAATCCTGGAAATATAACTGTGCTTTTTGACTTCTGAACTTCATCTCTTTGTATTCTGCTACTTGTTCCAATCTTTGCACATAACTTTCCAAGTATGTGCCATCACTCACTTGCAAGTTTTGAGATTGCTGGTAAACGCTAATTTTCCAGCTCTGTCCAGATTATTAATAAAATTAAATTGGACTGCTCTAAATATCTGTTTGTGGTAGCCTCCTTTTTAGTGTTATGATTAATGAATACTTTCTGATATTGTAAATTAGATCTTAATCCATGCAATAGTGCATTAGAGTGCTTAGTAACAGGTTTTCATGTGCCATTACAATGAAAGGCTTACTGAACCTGACATGTAAATTGTTTTCTACTTTTCCTTTGTATACTAAAATGTAATTAAATTTGGCTGGCATAGCTTATTTGTAATTGGGCATTTGTTTTATTCAGTTTCATCTTGATTTTACTGCATTCTTTACAGGCAGCCCTCACACTTATGACACAAGTTGAAACGTACCTCAGAACCAATTTTCCTATAGGAACAATGTTATAAATGGGGGATTGGTTCCTGAACCAAAGCCCAATACCCTATTTTCACCAAAAAAAACCCCAGAACGTTGTACTCAATCAATTATAGATGAGTAATATAGCTACATTAATGTATTTATATGGTAAATAGCAGTCATATTGATGTGGAAGGACTTTTTTGAGGTGACTTTGTTGGACTTTTTGAAGGGCTCTTGGTTGGACTTCTTGAATGGTTCTTGACTGGAGTCTTCTCAGAAGTCTTGGCTGCAGGTTTTTCTAGAGTCTTGTCTCCTTTTTAAAGAAAGTGTCCAAGGAAGTTTGGACAGATGTTGTCCAGGAGATGGGCAACACAGTGAGCTTGTTTGCTGGCATAGCATAGCATCAGATCAAGCACAGTAAAGTTGAAACTGACATCAGAAAGTCAAAACGGTGTCAATTTATAAACATTGTAAGTCATTCATTGTAACTCGAAACGTCTTAAGTCGAGGACTTCCTGTATTCTTTGATTCTGAAGTGTTTTCTGTTAAATCCACAAAAAAGGTACCTACCTCCAGAGCTGTTCCTAGGGGTGTGCAGGGCCTGGGGGGAG